CCCCAAAACCCCAAAACCCCAAAACCCCAAAACCCCAATAAACTTATAGACGAGTAAAATAATAACTTGATTATTGATAATATGATTCATATTCTCCCTTCTTCTTGACTCTTTTAGGGAAATGAGAAAGTTTTGATTTGTTGAAGGTAGCTCCTACTTTACCTTTCTCAAGCTCTATTTCATCCATATCGTTTCTAAAATCAATCCCTTGGTCTGCACTAGGTTCTATTGAGTTCTGGATAGGAGGATTTCCTCTTTGAAGCCCACTATGGCGTTCAACTGCATATTCATCGTAATAATCATCCCTGTAATTCATGGCTCTGTTGCCCCCAGCTTTACGAACCTTTCTACTATCAGCGCATACGTTATAAAGCCAGCATATTGGTTGAATAGTAAGTCCACCTCATCAGAATAGCATTGCAATTCCAAGATACCTCAACTCTGTTGAACTGAGTCCAAAATTATTGGTATCCTCAGTGAGCACCTCCGCTAACAAAAGTGGATCGTAGGCATTCCTTATCTCCCAAGTAAGGTCTCCCATTGTGTAAGGCATCTTATCTTCAATCCTTTCGCCAGTCTCGAGAGGGATAACTGTATAGCTTGTGGCATTATGGTACTGAGAATAGCACCCAAATGCTTTTGTCAGCTTATTAGTGTTCAAATACCTAAATTTCAGCCTTAAAATTTACCATTTTCCACCAGCATCCTTGTCGATTTGTACACATGCATGTGAGAGAATGCTGTAGATATAGCAAGTATTCCCAGTCGACTCAAAATGGCCGTGATGTCTATTGCATCCTGTCGCAGTCGACATTTTCAACTTCTTAATATGGTAAAGTGGTAGCTCTGGAATTGTAATAGTCTGATTTGTGGGCTCATCTTTTACTGAAATGCTAAATTTCATCTTCTTTGTGTCATTAAATTCTGTGAAGGGACCTTCAACTCCAAACCAACTAGCTTTTTCCTTCCTAGAATAATAGAGAGGATCATATTTTGGTAATTCTCCATATTTGTCTTCCATTAATTGATGCTCCACACTTTCACTAGTAACCTGAGTAATACCTTCATCATCATTCACATCAGCATCTTCAAAATGCACCATAAACTTAACATCACTATCCCCAAATTCACTTCTCTTAGTCTGATTCCAGTACAAAATATCTTCTTCGTAAACTTCCAGCCTGGTCTCTCTGGTTTCACCGAAGGATTTAGTCAGGAAGACGACTCCGATGATACAGCCTGTTATTAAGAGAAGTAGGTAGATTATGTACAAGAAGAGCTTAACTTGTTTCTCAACTGTAAGCATTTCTTATTATAAAACAAAAAATTAATATCAATATTTTTTATAAATTAGGGGTTTTGGGGTTTTGGGGTTTTGGGGTTTTGGGGTTTTGGGG